ATCAGTATTGACCTGAAGTAAGCGTGCATTTTTTTTTAAAGCCTTTTCAGTTTCTGCTAAATTTGAAAGTATACCATTTTCAGTTTTGAAGTTATTTTTCCTCTCTCTTAATTAATTAACTACTGCAATATGTTTTAAATGTGAAGTTAGGCCTACACTGTCTTCGATCACTTTATTTTATCTAGAATGAAAGGTTTTTTTTCCAAGATTCCTTGATATGTACATAAATATCGTTTCTCTTTTTCTTGGTTCAATCAGAGAAAAGTGTTTGGTTCAATTTGTTCCTGTTGGCCCTGATAACGATCTAGTTCTATTGGAAGCCATTTTAATTGACTTCAAACATTGATTTGTTAAAACAACACCCAGTTAATTGTTTACACCTGCACTGATAATTAATCCATCGGCATTGTTTACGTAGATCTAAGCTTGGGTTGTAACTGGAAGTTAAAAGTGCAACCTAATTTACGAACCAAATCCGGAAAATCGGGACATTTTCGGGTTGATCGGCAAAAGTCTGGTGATAAGCATGACCCGCCGGGTCAAAAAAAATAATCGGGTTACGGGTTGAAAAATCGCGTGTGACCCAACGAAATCGGGTGAGTTGGCAACTATGCTGATATGTGATAATTTTGAATTTTTCAATGCTTGTCTCATCTGAAAACAATTCATGGATAAATCACTGTGGAGTATGTGCCTTTTTCTGAATAATTGCCTTTAGTTTTAAAAGTTCAGTAGCTATATCAAACAGTTTTAAAATTTTGACCATGCAGTTACTTCGTCAATCTCAAATGAAAATAACAAGACCAGTTTTAAGTAACTTAATATAAAATAAAATCAAATGATTGATTATTAATTAACACATGAAGTACAAAATTTTAATCCAGACCCCACCACACACAAAGTGGTGCACAGTTATATACCCAAATAAAACAAATACTTCTTGTGCTTGTTTAAACATCTCTCTTTGGATTGCTTTTTAAATAATCCCTAAAATAATTATTCAAAGACATGAACTTACGATTCTTTGTCTTTTTTAAATAAAATGCATAATGTATAAAAATAGGAATAGCTAAATTAAGCAACCTGAAGTAGGTAAATAAAGCTTTAATACCTAGTTCTAGCTCCTTAACTAAACGTACTGATTGGAGTACCACTAAACAGAGTACGCTAGAGTATGATAGAGTACGATAGAGTACTCTAGGAAAATTAAGTTATTTAATGCAATAAAATTGTTTATGGATGTAAACATTCTCATAAACGTGTATTGCAATATTTGTTTCAAATATTTGTTTTTAGCGATACTTTGACAAGAAACTAACATCCATAATTCAACGCATTAAAATTACTAAATAATACCCCAATTTCGATTACTATTTTGTTTCCGACATACTTACTAAAGACTTGCATCTAAATTTTATCAGATATTAAATTAATTTCAGGTGTAAATATTTTGCACACTCATACATTTCAACATGTTTAAGTTAAATTAGATCGGGATCAAACGATAAAGCGTAACCCGAAATAAAAAATTGAAATAACTACTAAAATAAAGAAAACATACAAATTTTATTTATAATATATATTCAATATGTTTAAATAAAGTGGAAAAACATACAAAGAGTAGTTGAATTGCATTAAGTCATAAAACATTACTAGCGTACTCTAAAGTACTTTATCATACTAGCGTACTCTGTTTAGGTACACCCTCTGTATAGTAGGACCGCATTGATCGTACAGGACCTGTCTATGCATTTATTCGTTCCCCTTAAAACGATATGTACATTTCTGTATTTACGAAAACAAAGCACTCAAGTTGCAAAAACAGATTTATTCACTCACAGTCAAATTTGATTTTAAATAGAACACGTTTTCAACAGAGAACTGTATTCCTCTCGATTCTCCACACACTGAGGTACTGTACCATGAAAATGGCGCGAAGGAAAAAAACCATCGTAAACTACGAGGAAGAAATACACAATATATACTTACAGTGACTGTTACCCGTCTCGTCTCAATCTTTTCCGCACTTTCTTTGTGATGGTGTGAATAAAAGCAGTATTTCGAATCGATGAATGTCTTTATGAGAACTGTAAACAACTCTGCTGCGAGAAAGCCAATGTAGGTCGCCCAATAGTATGTAAACAGTATGACGTATGTTTAAACTGGTTCGCTATAAAGGAGTACCAGTTCGGTGCGCATATTTACCCAATAGGACCCAAAAGGAATTAAAAACAACCCAAAGGGACTTTAAATAAAGAGAATAAATGGAAATTCAGTGAAAATTTTCTTATTTCTTTTAAAAACAAAACTTATTTGGTGTGTGTATGTGTGATATATGTGTTTGGGGTAGGGTGGGGTGGGGATGGGTCTCCCCACCCAGGCACGTAGCATCGTTTTTGAAGGTGTGGTGGTGGTAGTGGTGGGGGGGTGGGGGGTAAGTGCAAATTAATATACTATATTAATAGCCATTGTCCAGAAGTACTGAAAATAACAAAATCATTTATTAATAAATGTATTACATCTAGAAATGACTGCATAACCTAATTATTTAACAAATGATGTGCAATATAGAGGTCTATCATCATTTAGCCTTATATTCTAAAAAGTTACCAAATTATTGTTTAAATATAATGAACAATTGATGATGTTGTAATTGTGTTTGTGCCAATTTTTGACCAGATTTTGTGTTTGATGTGCTATATAAGGCACATATTATGATATAACATGTTGATTCATGTTTCAAGATTAAATGATTTATTTAATGGTAAACATTTATTTCTGAATGGAAAACACAGCATGGATTGGGTGAATCATACTTATTATACAGAAAATCCCTAATACCGTGTATTTCTGTGTATTGCTCAAACGTCAACAAACATCGCATTTACTCCCCAGGAAAGCAGAATGAAAGATTCTCGGTATTAAAATATATCAGAAGATTTTAGTGCAACTAAAACATTTAAAGAAATGGGTGACAAAAGCTTATAATGTGACATGTTTTATTATTTGCACTGGAGATTTCAATAGCGACAAAATTAAATGTTCATGCCGTAAAAATTGATAATTTCTGTATTCCATAAAATCACGCTGTGAAACTCCACAGAAGATATTGCTGTGGTCTGTTCTACATGTTCATGAATATTACATGCAAGTCAATCGGGATTTCGATTTGGCCTGAGTTTAAAAGAAATATTCTACGTTGCTGGTACGTCGTTCCAGGTTTGATTTTTTCTATCAATTGCCAAGAAAATTTATATTTTGTATATAATAATGTGAAGAATCATAGTAAAACTTTAAATACACTTTCTTTGAGGTCTCTTTTCCATGTTTCCGAAGTTTTATGTGGATCCCAGCTATGTTAATTAATACAAAAAAAGAGTAATTTTTTGCTACTTCCGGTTTGACTGGAAGTGACGACGACGTAGGGAAAATTAATTTTTATGCTCCACATGATACATGTTACCAAAAAACTTGTCAAGACTGGCCAAAATACACGTTTCCCGACTACTTCCGGTTTGGCCGCAAGTGACGTCGTTGGTGGTATTTTGACGACGCCAGTAGATTAAGATTGACATTTTGAACAACTTTGCTTCTTTGACGTATTACAAATTCTCAATACTTTTTGAGATATAAAGGAAAAACTTTCGGCCCCAGTACTCCCTTTATTTTAGGGGCAAGCCCTTTCTTTTAGATATCATTTGAAAGATCTTGGAATTCTACACTTCTTTTGTTCTATATGTCTTAATAAAATATTTCCAGGTAAAAAGATAACGTAGAAAAGGTGTTACAAATTTTGAAATCTTCCGTCCTGTTTGACCGGAAGTAACCGGAAGTAACTTTCATTATTACAAAAATGAATAAAAACGCCCAAAAAAGTATAAATCACCTTAATTTATGTTGATTAATGCTAAAATAAGCCATTTTTGCTACTTCCGGTTTGACCGGAAGTGACGACGATGGACGGAAAATTAATTTTTATGCTCACAGAGAGATATGTTACCCAAAAACGGGTTCAGAACGACAAAAATACGCGTTTTTCGACTACTTCCGGTTTGGCCGGAAGTGACGACAACGGACGTTTTCTAATGGCTTCTTTAGATTGAGCTTGACATTTTGAACAACTTTGCTTCTTTGACGTATTACAAATTCTCAATACGTTTTGAGATATAAAGAAAAAACTTTCGGCCCCTCTAGTCCCTTAATTTTAGGGACCAGCCCTTTTTTCGAGATATGATTTGAAAGATCTTGGAATTCTACACTTCTTTTGTTCTACATGTTTTAACAAAATATTTCCAGGTAAAAAGATATCGTAGAAAAGGTGGTAAAATTTTTGAAATTCGCGATAGGACTATTTTTGCGCCATACCGAGCGCCGACGTGCGGCACTTCAGATAAAAATGAAATCAATTTTACATATCTATACACTTTGGACTATCATACCTGAAATTTTCACGTTTCTATCTATAGCCATTTTTTAGAACGTTCGAGGACAATCTGACCCTTCAAAAATCATAAAATCGACAATATCTCCGAACCGGAAGTGACGTCATCAAATCGGAAAAAAATGCATAAGGTTCAAGTAATGTTACATAAGTCCTGAAAGTTTCATGGAAATCCATCGAGCCGTTTCCGAGAAATCGCGTGCACAAAATCGGTAAGAAAAAAAAGAATAATAATAATAATAATAAAAGTGAAAAAGAAACCTAAGAATAACAAGAAGGTCTTCCGCTGAAGACGGAAGACCTTAATAATAAGAAACAGTAGAATCACTATAAGGTCTTCCGTGAAGACGGAAGACCTTAATGATTTCCTATGATCAGATAGAACTCTGAATCAATGAAAATAAAAAATTCTAGTGAACTTCATTATGGCACCTGATCCCACCTCTGATGTTTCGGAGGTCCGTGTTTGCTCTGCTTCTATTTTGTATTGTTTTATGGACTTTGAAATTGAATACTGTTCGTTATCTCCATATCCTTCCTTAAGAATTTATGTTAATACCTGAAGGTGCTTCAAGAATGTCAGAGGTAGAAAATGTTCTCTTCTTGAAAGACTCTACAACGGTTTTAGATCTGGGTGGAGGTACAGATGTCTGGCGATGAAATTCTGGTTTGGGAGCTCTTTCGTTCCTGACCTCACTGTTAACGTTAGATTCGGCGGGAATGTAAGATATTGCTACCTTCACTGGTCGTCTGCTCAGCACTGTACCAACCGGAATCACTATTAAATGTACAACAAAGAATTTTTAAAAATTATTTTCAATTTACTTTTTATTTACATGAGTGCCAGAAGACTCAACCTTTAAAACAGTTGGTGAATGTTATGGGTTTTTTTTTTACCTTTGAATCGGCTTGTTCCCATCCACCTGTATTTCTCACAATCTCTCATGACGTCTCCAAACAACCCGAAACCGAGAATGAGACTGGAGTAGCCCGCGCACCTGTTGCCTTGATGAAGGCTTGCAACATTGGTAGCAACACAGTCACCCATCATGATTCTTATCGCAGCAGTTTTTGGACATTTTGTTCCATTGAGGTACCAAGCTGTATAATTTCCTGATCCTATAAAGAATGTTTATATATGTATTCATTTTTTTCTAAACACGAACCTAGAGGAAAAAAAAAAGGAAAAAGAGTATTGCATATGTTCCGATTCCTTTTAATTTATTGGTTTATTTCTATTCATGTTTCGCCTTGTGAAATGATAACGCAAACATAAGAATTTCTTTCGAAGGATGTGTGAACATAAGAATACTAACTAGTATCCCTCGAGAGATCCATGTGGAGACAGTCATACTCTGTGTTCTCAAACGAACAAAATAAACAGTCATAATTTTCTGTTTCACAATAAGAAGTAGAGGCTCTTAAGATAATGTCAATTTCATTGTCGTGTTAAACTTCCTGCTGTGCTTAACACTTCAATTATGCTGTAAGTTGATTTAACACTCCAACAATTTAAAATAGGTCGTTCATTGAAGGCTTGCATTTCCGTCTAATCGTTTTAGAAATGATGTCTTGTGCTTTTGCTTCTTTACACTTTGTGGCTTTTAATCTTACCAACTTCTTAATTTCGTTATGAAAACAAGGTAATTTTTTAGTGTCATAATTAACGCATGGAGTCTTATGTTCTTAAGGGGAATAATTGTACAAGTTTCATTTTGTTTAAACATGTTTTCTAGTAATGTATTACTCTTCAATAATAAAACTAATTTATTTTTAATGTTTTACCTGCTGGAATTATTCCAATAGGAAGGTTGAGTTGTGGAAGTTTGGACTCTGGATCATCTGGGTTTAGTCCAACATCCCGCATTTGTCTATCTACTAATCCAGATAAAACCTCATTGTAAATTCCATCCCCACCCACGGCTATCACCCTGAAAAAACGAAAATTTTTAATCAATATTTATTACTAATTATGACAATTTCTACATTTTTCCATTTTGTACTAAAGCTCAAATGTGCCGTACTATTAGTGTTATTGGGAGGAAGAGAGATGATTGGTGGGTAATTGATGTGGACAACTTGAGAAACACTTACCCGTCATATAAATCCAATTTTTCACTGAGTAAACAGTCCCTCACTTCGTTGGCTCTGTTTGTCACTAAAAAAGAAGAATAACCGAGAATAAGGAAATGAAAAGTCTATCGGAAGTCATGCTTTCCTCTCTTCTTAAAATTTGCAACATTGAAGAATAATAATTATATTATGCTTACCATATTTGTTTATTTCAACTTTACACAGCTGAAAAATAGGTAGTACTTTCTTCTTGTAGATTTTTTCAGCTTCTCTGCTCCCACTTCTAGGGTTTATAAAAACCAGTAAACGCTTTGGTGTCTTTCCTGCAAAAAAGTTAATAAAAAATGGTTAATATTTTTTTTTAAATAGAAACTTCAAAATTTTTATATGAAAAAACAACTGAAAGCAATAGGTGAATTTTTTTAATTTTATTTTTAAAAATCTGGTAACAATGCAATTTTGAGAAAGAAATTATAAACCTCCAATTGATGATTCAAGAGCCTTTTGAATTTCGAGACATTTTTCTTCGGTTCCTGGAAGTCGAATCGTTCCCACGGCCAGTTTCGCGTCTTTCTCAATGACGTAAACGATTTCCAAAGAAGCACTGCCGTTATGTCTTTGTACTTCACTTCGCAAAATTAATCTTTCCTCAATCTCCCCTATAAAATGAAAGAGAAAAAAACATTCACATTTTACAAGTTCTTAAGTTTATACCAATATTACATTGATATTTCATGTCATTTACACATAGTTATTGCATTCTGGTTTAAAAAAAAAAGAAAAGAAAAAGAAAAAACTTTGCCTACAGTTTAAAGAAGACGATTTGTAACATAAACGAGCGTTGCGGAAGGTGAACCGATCATCTGCATCGTTCAACCACATTTTTAATACTATTACCAAATAATTTGTAAAATACAATTATAAACAAGTACATTGTATTTGGTTTTTCCCATAATTCACTTCAGCCATATAGTGCCCACTTGATGAGTTTTCATGGATTTTAAGCTTTGAAAATTATCATTATATGTTCTAATGATGACTCTATTGATTAAAAAAGAACGGAGGTTTATTTATCAATAATCCCACGAAATCAATATTAATCATTACCTATGATACTAGATATGCATCTTGAAGAAATCCCTTTTCTTGTTTTCTGCGTAATCTAGCCATGCATGCTGAAAATTTTTTAATGCGAGATGTATAGATTATTAGATAGATTTCAATAGTGCAGAATTTGACATATTTTCGACGTTGAAGTAAAGTTCTCTTCAAGTTAATATCAAAATTTAGTCAAAGTACAAGACATTCATTTCTGCATTAAACATTGTTTTCTTCGTTTTTCTTCAAGTAGATGAATTATTCGTCATTGAGTTTCATATACCATTTTTCCTCAAAAATCATTTGTCGATTACTGTCAAACATAAATTGACTATCATATAGAGTTTCATTCACATTAAACTACAACATTTCCTTGTTTTAAATTCTCTCTTGTATTTATCAATGAAAATATAGAAGGAAATTAAGTTTTAATAACATCAAGGCCTAGTATAACATTTTACACAAAAGCGGCTCTAAGAGTCCTTCATTTTTTTCTACCCTTGTAAGAATTTTTATCTTTTCAAGAATACATTTTTTTCTTTGCTCACTTGAAGACATTACTTATATATATCTATTCATAGTTCGTATTTCTAGTTGTTTTAAAGCAGAAGGAAATATTAATGGGAACATAACAGATAACATTCAAATTCAGATTCAAATAACTGTCCTCTTATGCAAAGATAATGCATGAATTTTTGATGATTAATTTTTTTTTTATTTTTATTATTATTTTGGTGAAAAGTATTTGATATTTTTCTACTTCCTGCTCCTTGGATTTATTGATTTAATTATTATTTCTTCCACATCTTTTTTTTAATTAGAAAGCTCTAATTAAAAACAAAATTATATGTATTGACATGTAATTGAAACCTTTATGGTCATTTAGACTTTTTAAGTATTATATTGTTTAGGAAAAAATACTTCTGTTCAATCAAAGCTTAAAAATATTTCTTCCATCGCAATTATGAACTATAAAAGTGTGTAAATGTTCTTTTTTTCCTCGCATTGAAAGGAAAAATTACAATTTTGCTGCAAAATTTTTTTTTTAGAAAATTCCTCTATTGCTTTAACATATCAGTAAAATGTTACCTAAGCTCATTAAAAGATAACTGTAAAAAGTTTTAAACTCAACAAATGATGATGAGATGTTACGATCATTTCATTGAAAAGGGGATTTCTATCGCCAATGTTATTTTTAAAATTAAGACTTATTCCAGCAATTCTTCTTTCTTTTAATATAATCATTTTACTGGATTTGTATTTTAACTTCTTGTCAATCATGTTTTCTTCGCTCTACATTTTTTGTATAATCTTTTCCAAAGAATCACATTTTATTTCTTAATGAAAAAGTAGGATTTAGTATCTTTATAATATTCACTTCTGTAGATATATTTTGACTTTGAACGTCACTTTAGTACAAATAATTGTCCATCAATCGAACTGCAGATGATAAATATATTTTTACTGATGTATGCAGATGATACTGTTTTGATATCTGACTCATCTGAGAGTTTACAAAGAATGTTAGATGCATTATATACATACACAACGGAGTGGAATCTAACTGTTAATGTTGAAAAAACAAAAATATTAATTTTTCGCAACAGTCATAAAATACTGGAAAATGAACGTTGGACATACAACGGTTGCAATGTTGAAGTTGTTAATCAGTTTAATTATCTAGGTATGTTATTTAATTAGAATGGAAAATTTGCTGAAATACAGAAACATTTTTCATGTCAAGGTAAAAAAGCTATGTACGGTGTAAATAGTAAAATCAGGGATCTGCATTTTAACGTAGAAACACAATTAGCTGTATTCGATACTTATGTTAACAGTGTTATGAGTTATGGAGCTGAAGTATGGGGATTTCACAAGGGTCAAGACGTAGAAAATGACTTAAATTATTATTTCAGACAAAGCACCAGTAATGATGCAGTTTATTGTGAATCAGGTAGATTTCCACTTATACTTGAAAGGAAAAAGAAAATTTTGAAATATGAAGTTAAAAAACAGTGATAATTGTATATTACAAGCATGTTATCAAGATATGGTTGAAAATAATGATGAATGGATTGTAAACATTAAGAAGGAATTCCAAAGGCTTGGTTTAGCTGACATGTATAGTAGTGATTGTATTGATAATAATACTCTGAACATTATATTTCAAAGAATGTATGACTGTTATAAACAAGAAATTATGGCAAGAATTTGTAATTCTCCTAAATATTTTCTATTCAACATTTAGTGGATAATGTTGTACTACAGACTTATTTAAGAAAACCATTGCATTCTAAGTATAGAATACCTATCAGTCGTTTAAGGCTATCAGCTCATGATTTAAGAATAGAAAGGGAAAGGTATAGTAATATAGAAAGAAAAGATAGAAAATGTGAAATATGTATGTCAGGTTAGAGGACGAATTTCATTTTGTATTAAAATGTCCTCGATATGAAGAACTTAGAATTAAATATATTAAGTGTTATTATTTTAAAAAACCATCAGTATTTAAATTAGTACAGCTACTGAGTAGAACTATGTAACCTGGGCAAATATTTGTATTTTTCTCATCTGTTCTAAATAATAATTAAATGATATTGTTATGTAATTAATACATGTATATCGTATATAGCCTGTACAAATCTTATGTATGAATATTGTATACCTATGAGATGTAATGTCTCCGGTTCAAATAAAATACAAAAATATTTGCTTCTACACATCATTATATTTTCCATAAATGTAGGATGTGATAAGGATGTGATTACTGGCATAAATCTAGGAGAAAACTAATTAATCTTTTAAATATTGTGCAATTTATATGTAATATTGTGCAATTTTCTCAAACCTTTTGAATAAACTGCTCTAGCAATTTCTTAATTAAAACATCAACTTTATAGAGGGAGTTGGGACAGGTGATTTTTTTCATTAAATATTAATAAAAAATACACTCTTATATGAAGAGGTTGACAAAAATCGTGAAAAAACATGTAGATTATGTTGAAAAATAATACATTTACCAAAACATTTTGCACCACATGATTTGTATCAATATTTAAAGAATTAAACCACAATATTTGAGAATTGATTACAGGATAATTTAGCTTTAATTTAGCTTTAAAAATTAATGACACTCCACGGATTTAGATAACATCTATTTTTGAATTTAATTATGAATGTGAATATAGGTCATGCTTTGGATAATCCACTGTGAATGGGTTTTTTTTCCTATCATTGTGATCATTTTCCTTTAAATTGATAAAATGCGAACAAAGGAACAATATTTTATTGACAGAATGGTAATGATAAGAAAATTACCCTACTAAAACTCAATAAATCATTGATTTAAATGTAAACCTTTCAAAGGTGTAGGTATATTACATCTATTTGCCTCTGTTTTAAATTAAAATGAGGGGGATATGTCCCTCAAAAATAGAAGAAATTGATATTTGTAATGTCAGAAATATTGAAACATCAATTTTTTTTAATCTTACTAAATCGCATACTAGAGACAGCTTATCAAACGTGTATTGCTTCCATTTATTTTTTTATTCCTTATCTTACACTTTTTTTTTTTTACAATTAACATATATGGACTTTATTCAGTTTTTGGCAATGCCAGCGTCATCAAATTAAATCAAAGCACTCTTATTTAGCAGAAAGCGTGAAAACCAGTGAAATGTTTTCAAAAAAAACACTTGTATATCTTTGCTGATTTATTACTGATTATGCAGTGCAGTATTGTATTTTTTAGAAGTGAGATTCCATTGGTAATTTCCTTCCAGGTACTCTTAATACAATTACCATAAAAGTGTAAATCTTCATGTTTCTTTTTTAACCTTTTTGAAATTAGATACTTGTCTTAACTTTTAAGGGTTGGCTGTAAGAACATCTTTTTCTGAAAAAGGAAAATGTGTGCTTCTTTTGAAAATGAATTATTCAGTGATGTTTTGAACCGTTTTCTGAAAAAAGTAAAGGAGCTTCTTCTTAAGTGCTTGTATCCGTAGCTTATATGCGTACACTCAGATAAATTTTCAGAGAATTTGAAAGTATTTGGTGACATTTTCCTCTGAAAGGAGTTCTTTGTATACTCTGTATTTCCATATTTTCAGAAAACAAATTAGTATAGAGGTCTAAGATGCTTTATATTACCCCTTAGGATATCGTTTACTCTGTGGGTTTATAATAATTATACAATAAGAGCTATAAAGCTAACAGACAGTAATTGTGCTCAAAGTACATTAAAACAATACGAATTTATTTAGGAGAATATCAAACACAGAACTTTAAACACACCAGAAGAGGGATTAGGTGCTATGGAGGAGTATGCATGCCCTGTCAACTACTCTCCACGTGTGCATCTTGTCATGTTCGGGTAAATAAAAATTTCATGGACAATACCTATAAAGCTAGTAAATTATCTAAATATGAAACAAATCTTCCATATTCTGTGGTGTTTTTATTTTCAAGTTCACTGAAATATATTGAATCGACATACGAATGAAAATAACTACTGTTAATTGATAAAACGTCGATATGTCTTTATGGCAATTTGAAGGTAACAGGTTTTCCTCTTCTCGTGTATATTTTATTTAAAAATAAATTCTGCTTTATATAAATATAAAACAGGTCAGCTTAAAAACTATTTCAGCGCAGTACATGCACCTGTTCAACATGAAGTTAAACGAAATTTCATGGAAAATTTTGCACGAAAAATCTCGCCGTTTGACCATGAAGAAATTACATTTGACAAAACTCTAAACTTGCGTATGCTTTGAATATTTTAAAATACTGTTTTTAAAGTTTGATGGAATACTACAATTCAATGCGATTTATTATTTGTACCTGGAAAGAAATAAACTTGATTTGCAATTTAAAATACCACCAGGTTCATTTGGAATTGTTAATATTACTTTCATTTATTTAATCTATAATAGTTGAGTGAAAATTATCAATCGGAAAATTCACATCCGGTAATCAATGAAAACCTGAATCAATAAGGAAATTGGATATTTGAAATTGGAAGAAATTTCTCTCCCTCGCATATTTGGCATATTGACATCAAAAAAGGGAAAAAAATATAATAATTTTACGTCGATTTTCTTAGTATTTGCAAAACAAAGAGAAATATTTCATTTCTTCGTATGCTTGCAATACAATTAATTCGAGCTAAAATATAGATTTGAACTGAAATTGTTCTTATAAAATATCTCAACTTTATTTCTACACAAAAATAGGTTGTATCAAAGCAACTAGGTCAACTGTTTGAGGAATAAAGCATTGTTTTAACCTATGTCAGACGATATAGCATAACTTGGGGCAGTTTGCGCTTTAAAAACCGCGAAGTGGTTCATAAAAAGCGTACATTGTTATATGTTATATCGTATAGCATACTGCACTCATAATGATTTAATTTCAGTGTAGATAATGGCTTCATATTGAGCATAATTTAAAAGTAACGTCAAGCGGAGTAATACGTTTTGACGTAACTCATTGTGGCGTAGGCAACTTACTAGTATGTTATACGATATGATGTACGATATATTCTAAATCTTTTATCCAATCAAATGACGTGTTACAACTAAAATTAAATTATATTATAATGAACGCTTGAATCAAGTTCCATGTAAATACGTTGATTCCCATTAAAACTCCCCCATTATTTCCACTTATTTATATAGTTTTATAAAGTGAATAAATGGGTAAATTTACAACTGATGAATTAATTAATGTTTTATCCCAATTGCTGATGTTATTCAGTGTAAGTCAGAGTTTCGATTGAGATATCAGCATCCGTATGTTTAGAGCGTTTAATGTTTATATACAAAAACAAAATTTTCTGCCATGATTAAAAATATTTTTTTCTTTTAATTTGTTGTGAATCATTAGATGGAAAATGGTCTAGAGAAGATATTTCCCTATATTTCAATAAACTGCCTCATACGTATAATTTACCATATTACTTTGCGTAATAAAATGTAGATCTTATTACAAATTAAACACCACCCTCCCCCCAAAAAATAATAATAAACAAAATAAAAACAAGAACAAGAAGAACAACAAAAGAAAATCTAGTCATGAGAAGCCAGTGATAAAAGTGGATTTTTTACTGTAACCAAAAAATCTGCTTGCGCAGAGTGAATCTTAATGAGGTCATATAGAAAATATGACCACTTGACAAACCAGTTTCCGTTGCTATTCCCATCCAGAGAAGTGTCCAATCATCCGGCTTTATAGCAAGAGACACTTTCCTTGATGATATTAGTGAATTTATTTTCAAACAAGAGGAACTGTGATGTCACATTGCTAAGATTATTTCTGTGAACTTTTGAACTTAACTAATTTTCAATGTAGACTCTGCGAGTGTAAAGAATAAATATTACGCCTATGTACACCAATAATTCGGTAATGCAAAGAATTGAAATAAAAATTGAAAGAATAAATTTGAATTACAATATATGTTTATGTAAGTTTATATAACATAAGAAGCATGATACAAACAAAAACACTATATTTCTCCTGGAAATGATTTTTTATATTCTATAATTTTCCATTCGTGTTGTATATTTTTTGTTGTTGTATTTAAAATTTATACGTTTCCATTTGTAAATTTTTTCATTTGAATTCTGTATTTTCCATTTGCATTATATAATTTCTTAATTATTTAATTATTTGTATTGTATTTTTTTTTATTTGTATTCGATAATCTTTCATTTGTATTGTATCCAAATGTTAAATACAAATAAGAAATTTTATAATACAAGTAAGAAATTAAAGAATGCAAATTAATAACAATACGATTCAAATGTTTTTTTTTTTTTTTTTACAATACATAGAAAATTATAGAATACAAATGGAAAAATATATAATACAAATAAAACTTATTCATGAAGGATATGGAGATAACAAACAGTATTTATTATCAACGTCCATAAAACAATACAAAATAGCAGAAGAGCAAACACGGACCCCCAAAATATCAGAGGTGGGATCAGGTGCCATGGAGGAGTGAGCATCGCCTGCCGACCAGTCACACCCGCCGTATGCTCCTTGTCATGATCGGGAAATAACGGGAAAATCCGTCGTCAGTTAAGTGTAAAAAATAATGGACTAACAATTAGTATGAAAAAGTCAGTCAGCATTTGACTTTATGATAAATTGTATTTGCTGACAAGGTCATTGTATCGACCATAGAACTTACGAAATGATGACTTTAAACGAAACTGCTGAAATCAACTTGTTTGTCAATAATTTACCTCGTTTTAGAAAGGCTCTTGCGAATCGTATCAACTGAGATATATAAACTCCGTATGCAGGTGATAAAGGTTTTATTAGAAATGAAAAATTATAGAATACAAATAAGAATTATATAATATAACTGGAAAAGATTGAATATTTCAACGTTTTACATGCCATACATATCAATTCAAATGTAGTCAGTCACGTAGAAAAAAAATTCACATAATATAAATTTCTTGTCAAGTTTGAAAAAAATAATTGTTGTTGATTTGCAGAGCAAAGATGAACAACTCTTGCGTGAAATATATGGAGATATCGAACAATTTTCAAGCTCCGAAGTCCATTAAACAATACAAAATAGGAGCGGAGCAAACACGGACCTCCAAAAAGATCAGAGGTGGGATCAGGTGCCATGGAGGATATGATGAAGCCCAAAGGTGGTAAAACACTTGATCGGTTGCTGTTTAACTATATTAAACACTAAGACAAATTAAAAGAAGCTTCTGTTTTATTTTTTATATATTGTGCATGCAAGGAAGTATAACATATATATGCGTAATACTTGATATGACTGGAACATTTTTTATTATGTAATAATTACATAAATGGATTGGGCAGCAGGCATAGCCTATATAAGCCCTCTCCACATGCATAATACTTCACTATCAGTCCGCTGTCTTGGGTTTGACATAGGTGCCTGAGCAGAGAACCCTACTCCAGACCTTCTCGACCTTTTTTCAAAAAATAGATTTGCTATGAAATGTTTGGGATTTAATCCATATGATGATCTCAATAAAATCTAAATACTCTCATTAAAAAACTATTTTTTTTTTTACTCTTTCTAGTCAATAACGCTATTTCATATACACTTTGAAAGTAAATAAATTGCTTGTTTTTGGTGATTTTTATCGGATCGATGGTAGTTTGAACAATTTATGATTATCACTTAGCCTAACATTTTACAGTGTTCAATCAACTGCAAACCATAACTGTCCTATCAACTTTTGATAATGGAGTACTGTACTTTATTAACATTTAATGTATGGTACCCGGAAAGAAAAGGTCGTGATTTGCAGATGAAATACATCAGGTTATTTTTGAATGGATGATTCAATGGTCTATTTTTCAGGTTTTTTTGCAATCGATGTGTGAAGATTGTCAATCGAGAAGTCCGCAACCAATAATCAACAAAACTTAGAGCAATAAGGAAATTCGATAATTGAAAGGTCAAGGAATTTCTCCCCCTGCATACAAGTAAAAAAGAGTAAAAGTATTTTCACTTGCATTTAATTTATACTTTCAAAACAGATAGACATTTGATTACATGTATTTGTAATTTATACTTGCAAAACAATTTTCATCAACTTTTATATTTAAACTCTAAAAATAGGACACCTTCCTCCTCACAACAAAAATAAATGAACGCATGATCGGATTATACCTTAATTTCCATAAAAAAAAATTTCCCCAATATTTACATTTTATCAAAGAAATACAGAACTTGGTTCATTTTATGCATTAAACTTTTGGGAAATTTTACAACTGACAGATCAATAAAAGTTTTCATCATAGAGATCTGGTTTTTGTCACACTTTTTATTGTCATACAGAATTAATAGAACGCAATAGACGATAACATGTATTTTTATATCAACAATTTTCTTGCCAACCTTGTTTGAAATCATTGTGCATTTTTAAAATGTTGTTTTTTAAAAGTTCAATTTCTTTTTAGAGTGTGATATCTTTAAAAAATATCACAACAAATGTATTTTATACATTATTAGTTGGCTGTATTAAACCACATAAAAATGGAAATTAATGCAGTCATGTGCTTTGAACCACGATATTGTGCAGACGGAGATACATTTATATTGCCATTGCCTTTTCAATTCCCGGTGAAAATACCGTAAAATCTCCGATTTTATTTATTAAGTCTGAAGGATTGGTTGCTTGATTGTCTTCGTCACCCAACGCATTAGGAATGTTTTAAAAGGTTTCGCTTCGTTTTGTTTTTCTTTCTTTTCATAAGTATTTGAATGACTAATTTAGCAATTACACCAGGGATCGCTATTCTGTGTGTATTGATAATTAGGAAAAGAAATACCCCAATAATGTTGGACGCTTGTGTTTCGAAGAAAACCGGTTCGGGTTGATGAAGTTTCTGTATTACTTTTACATAGTTGATATAATGTTATATAAATTTTGTCTAAAAGGAGAAGCGCCACTATTAATGAGACTACACTGTATCTTAGTCTTCTTTGACGGGCTTTATACTAACTTTGTAAAGAGATACACGAAAAAGATGGAACAAGTCTTTATTATTTCATGATCAGGTGACATATAGCATTATCTAAAAGAGATACTAGTATTTGAAAGAGTCCAAGTCCTTTTCTTTTTTTTTTATTTTTGAATCACAGGTGAATAAAAAATGGAAGTGCTTTGGTACAAATGATAATACAGTGTACTAGGAAACTAAAATCTATATAATGTTACATTCAAGGTGCATTTCTCAATATAAGAGTTGATCAGAATGAAAGAATTGAGAAATAAAGTCAACTCTTGCATTATGGCACAGAACTGGTCAAGCAATGTTAACATATCTATTGTCATTCACTGTATGTAAGTTCACAAATCATCCCGTCTCCTTCTTTTCCAATTAAAATTCGAAAATATTTCATGATTTTATTGTCAAATAGACGTCGTTTTTGAATGTCGGATTCTCTGGATTTTCGTCAAAAGTCACGGATCCCATCTTTAATACGACATCCTCGTCCTCGTCATCTTTTAACCAAAGAGAGGACTGCATTAATCTGAAAAATATATAATATTATATATGATTCGTATGCATACATATATCATTAATTTGAATATTCATATTTTCCTTGGAAAAACAAAGTACAATGTGAATTGAAATGATTCAATTGCAGTCTATTTATTTGATATCTAGAAATCGAAAATAGCAATACACATATAATTGCTTTAAACGAAAGCCCTTGAACTAGAGGTAGAGTAAAGTGCCTTCGGGGAGTAAGCATCCCCTGTTAATCGACAGACCCAACCAAAGGTATAATCTTATTGTGAGTCATGCAATACTTTCTTATTTAAATCCTTAATTCATTAAAACTTCTTTTTCACTATTCTAGAGAACTATGAGAAATATGTCAAATTTTATATACTTTATCTGTCGTTGCTTATGTTTAATCATCATGACGACGAAGAAAACGATGACAAGGAACAAGGCCAGACAGGACATCACTACTGCTAAGGTCATCTTCACGTTATCTGAAGAAAAATATTACTGTGTAGAGAAAAATAAATGTATAAAAAATCAGAATTTTCATATCTTTAAACTTGATTTCTTTTTTAGAATAACATGTTTTCATTCTCTTGTGTTTAAGGCTAAAATGCTTTCGTTCCTACGAATTTGATTTACCGAATGAATTACTGCTGGGTGTTGGGATGTTTTTAGGGCATCTCATGTTTCGGAATCCTCTTGTTGCCTTCGGTCTCGATAATTCCATAAAGTCCTGTGTGTCACGAACATGGTTTTCCGCACAGCGACTGATTGAACCACCATTCTTTAATGCACTGAAAAGTTTTTTTTTGTTTTTAGAAAATATTCAATAAAAAGCATTCCCTTTAATACGGAAGCGTAAATGGCTCTACACTTGTTGTGTTTTAACTTTGTATATAGTCTTACATTTTATCGACTTATCAACATATAATGTGTTTTACCTCCTTATTTATACACATATTTTGAATTGTGTTGAGATGTATTTACATACTTGAAGGCAACTTCTTTTGGTCATTAGATTTTATTGCTTAAAATTTTATCGACTGAGATATTATATTGATTTTCAGATATCAATCGAAACAAGATATTTTATCAAATCGATATAGTATTGTTGATATGAAAAAATAAAGATATAGTTATATCGATTTTAATTCATGAATATTTGCGATAAAGAAGTCAGAATACAGTTTTTTTTAAATAAATAACTTGGCGGGGGCGGGAATTCTAATGAACCTTCACAACACTCGGGATTCAGTGAAGGCTTATGTACCATGTATTTGCCAGCGTGTGCAGTTAAAGGCTGAATCAAATTAAATAGTATATTGTAAAAGGGGGATGGAGACACATTAAAAGTTAGATTCATGGGGAGGGGGGGGGTATTGTACCGATCACCAATTTGAAAAGGGGAAGACAAGGGTACCTTTTGTGTCTCTCATCCAGCTTTTTTCAAAAAGTTATATTTAATTTGTCTGACACTACACTTTCCTCTTTTATACTTTGTGACTAAGCTTTTACAGATTGGCTGAAATCACAAATTATTTTATTTCTTATGTATACCACAGAGTGAAACAACATCAAACATTTACAAAGTACATAATCAGTGTTACTTTTATAATATTTATTGGCGATTTACAATCCCCCACTGAACTCTAGAGATATAAGCAGTGAAGCAGGATAGAATATATCAGATTCCCTCTTCAAAAGGGGTGTTGGGTACAATAACTCCCTATGACAATGCATATAATCTAACTGTTGATGTCTCTCCCTATTTCAAATATTTATACCCCCGCTTGAAAAGTGGGAGGGTATATAGTAATCGGTATTTCCGTCCGTCCGTCCGTCTGTTACTCTTTGGGGTACCCATCTCTTATCCGCAACTCCTCTCATACCACTGAAGGAAATTTAATGAAACTTTCACAGATTCTTAATTACATATTGCCATTGCGCACCTCCTATTTTACTTTTTAATCTGACATATATTTTTGATTTTCCAGAGCAAAACATGGACACTGCCATTATATTCATATGGGAGGAGGGGGGGGTATCATTTTGTGAGCTCATTGCTCACAGTACCTCTAGTTATACCCCCGCTTGAAAAGTGGGACGGTATATAGTAATCGGGATTTCTGTCGATCCGTCCGTCCGTCCGTCTGTTACGCTTTATCTTTTATCCGCAACTCCTCTTATACTACTGAGTGAAATTTAATGAAACTTTCACAGCATCTTTATTACATATTGCCATTGTGCACCTCCTATTTTACTTTTTTATTCGACACGTATTTTAGGTTTCCCATAGCAAAACATGGACATTGCCATTATATATGGTACATAATATCTCCTAAGTAAAGTGAAGATTCATTAGATTTCCCGCCCCCGCCAAGTTAATTCAAAAACACTTTTTTTTCTAAATTCTTCTCGAAAGTATTCATATCTCTATATCGATATAACTATATATTTAATTTTTCATATCGACAATACTATATTGACATGATTTAATATCTTTTTTCGATTGATATCTGAAAATCAGTATGATATTTCAGTCGATAAAACTTAAAGCAATAAAATCTATTGAACAAAAGAAATTGACTTCAATTATGTAAATACATATCAATACAGTGTGTCAAAATATGTGTATAAATAAGGACTGATATAACACTTTATATGTTGATAAGTCGATAAAATATAAGACAATATACAAAGTTATAACACAACAAGTGCAGAGCCATTTACGCTTCCGTACCTTAACATTGTCATTTTTGTAATTGTAAGATTCCATCAGAATCCTTACCTTGAAGATACATGAAATGGTGACACATTGTCATTCATAAGATTCTGCATCAGCTGATTGGAAGGTTTGCCGTCATAGGCAGTCAGAACAATGGCGTCCATCACACCTTTACTGTGCATTGTAATATCACTGGATACCGACTCTGACCGGTGGTAAACAGCCACTGCAAGGCTCTTCCTTTCTTCTAGTTCCTAGAATTCAATAAATGCGTTAATAGTCTATAGTCTATGCTTAAACAGTTTTACTCCTCTTAGGCACCTGATCCCATCGCTGAAATTTCGTTGGTACTAGTATGTACCCTTTTACAGATTTGTATTTTTGATATGAATCACTGTACATTTTTGTATCGACATCTCTACCGACTGTTTTTAGTTAAAAAAGCAAAATAGCTTCTCGTTATGATTAACAAATTAAAAAAAAAATAAGTTATTCAGTAATTACTTTTCGAATGTTGACATGAATATCTTCATTCGCCAGGATTTTGTACTGTTTTCCGGTGTTGCCATGCATATCAATGGTAGATAGCACTTCGCCCCTTCCACTGAATACCACAACCTTATACGATCTAAGATCGTGAGTAAAATCACCTACAAATGTAAGTATTTGGTTTAGATACGAAAGATATTAATGCAAGTTTAATTCAAGATCTTCATAAACAATTATATGCGGCAGGTGGTCTTAAAACTTCATGGAAAATTCGGGATAATGATGCTGTAAAAATACTTTGAATAGGAAGAAAATGCTTTCATTTAAAATGGCTAATATATCAGAAGGTCTTGATATTCTTTTATTTGTATGAATTTTCAAGTTTCCTTACTTGAAATCTTAAGCTCGATGAATTGTTCGTTTGGTTTTGTCTGAGATATAACGATTTCGTTAATCAGAATCTTAGTTTCTCCACGGTACTGAGGCCTTAATGTCGTAAGAAAATCCTGACGATTTGTATGCTTCTGTGATCTGGTGACAATGCTTGAGATTGACTTTGTCTCGAAGTGTTTTCTCGTGCTTAAGATGTGAGGAATTCGACTTTTTGATGAAATCTTCGTGAAAACAACTGACGAATTCGAAGATACCGTGCGTGGCATTATTGTTTTCATGGTTGAGTAAACATGCTGTGAGTCTGGATGGGAAGTTTTCTCTTTTGATGTAGTTTTTTGTTCAAACTTTGGAGAAGTAGAAGAAAATTTGGATGTTAAGGATGTTTTGAAATGTTTTGAAACGTGTTTTTGTTTAGGGGTCTCTGTTGGGCCCCAAACTGTTTGCTTTCTGCCCCCTTTTGTAGTTTTTATCTTCTTCCTTGATGTAATTGTCAATGTTGAAGGAGTTCTTGTTCTTGTATCTGATTTGTGGTCGATTACTGTTGGCCGATATTTACCAGGGGTATTCTTCTGGGGCTGATTTGACGATGTGCTTGTGGTCGATCTTGTCTCCGATGTTTTACTTTTAGTTGGGATAACTGTCGAAATTTCTTTTGAACTTGGTGAAGAGGTTGTTGATTGTTCTAAGATATTGTTTCTTTCTTCAGTGTTATTTGCCTGCACATGGAGTGTTACCTTCGATAGCAAAGGAGAGGAAAATAATGTACTTAAAGGTTGACGATTGTTTGTATATTTCTCGATATCTTCTGTTATAATTTTTGAAACGTCAAAAGTTTTACCATGAACAATTGTCGTAGAAGAAGCTTTAACAATTTTGGTCAGTTGTACAGGGGATATATTAACGACCGAATGTGACAATGTTCCTGTACTGTCTTGAGAATTCACAGCTTCTGTCTCTTTTTGACGAACTCCTGAGGAAAATATTTCACTCACTGAGGCATGTGATGTTGAAAGTTGCTTAGGATTGTCTGTAATAATGACTCTGTCACTGGTTGATTTTGAAAAATTCTGTTGAATCAAATCTTCTGACGTAAAGGTAGTGACATATTTCAGCACACCATTGTCTTTCCAAGATTCATGGTATTTTTCCTTTTTATATGAGAAAAATATATAATTATTTAGTTGAAAAAAAAATTAGTAAAAATAGATTTGTACGATTTGATGTTTTTTTTTTTGTTTTGTTTTGTTTAAGTTTTGACATATTTTACTATTTTCGATTAGCAGTTTATAGTACGTGTAATTATTTCTTGAAATTAGTGTAAATTAAAATAAGGTTTGAAATTTTTTTCAAAAAATGTCCAGAAATAAGCGATACAAGTACTAGATATATGCCTAAAATATTACCCCAGAGACTTTAATTGTGATAAAGATGAGGTAGATTGCAATCTTCATTTTCATATATTTGAAAACTCAGGTAGCTAAAAGAAAAAAAAAATAAAATACAATGTACAAGGTCATGGTAAAAACTGTTGGTTCAATGAGTTTTCAGTCATCAATTCCTGAGAAGTGTCCACGGACGTCAATCGAATGAAACGAGAACGGTGGAACTTTATTCTCTGTTTATGCGTTGATGAAAGTAGTCTCCGGTCGCTTTTATATATAGGTTCTTGCATTTAAAGTGCAGACAAAAACTAAATGAGTATCAGACTAACAGTCAGGAAACGAACTTCACCGTTTAAGTAACGAGTGAATACTGTTTTAAATTGAATGCACGATCCAACATATTAAAAACGGACCGAACGTTTTTTAATCATAAAAGGCGATATCCAGAGCACTTCTGGATTATCCGTTTCACGACTGGTAATTGTGACAGGTCCAAAGGACAGAAGTAGAACGGTCAAAAGCAGAAAAAGACGAAACACATGGATTCCGTAAAAAAATAAAGGTGTATCTCCTTTAAACACAGGAGACTATTTTCAGCGACGTGTTAATTATCAGCGAAACGCGTTTTGTCTCCGTTTCTACACCAGTATGTCATTCTTAATGCTATCTTTGGTGTTAAGGTATGATTGAACCCTAATCGCCGAATAAAATGAGCATCATGGACCCTCTCCGGACAAAAAAGGCGAGAAACGTAACCGAATGAGTTGAAAACTTCGACTTCTGTTATCTCTGCGCTATCCAGTAAGGTGTGTTAAATACTTAAGATATTAAACATTTCAATTTGATGACCGACTAGGTTTGGCTGTATAAGGATAATAATAATTGTATTGATTCACAGATTTTGAACAGATCTTACTATGAAATCTATGGAGATAACGAACAGTATTCAAGCACAAAAGCCCATAAAACAATACAAAATAGAAGCAGAGCAAACACGGATCTCCAAAACATCAGAGGTGGGATCAGGTGCTATGGAGGAGAGAGCATCCCCTGCTGACAGGTCACACCAGCCGTGTGCTCCTTGATCGGGAAATAACGGAAAAAACCGTCGTCAATTCAGTGTATAAATAATGGACTAACAATTAGTATGAAAAACGTCAGTCAGTATTTGACTCAATGATAAATTGTATTTGCTGACAAGATCATTGTTTCGACCATAGAACTTACAAAATGATGATTTTAAACGAGACTGCTAATATTCTTGCTTCATCAACTTGTTTGTTAATAATTTACCTCGTACGTTTTTTGAAATTGTTCATACGTAGAGCATGCCCTTGCGTATCGAATCAATTGAGATATATAGACTCTGTATGCAGGTGATGAAGGGATATTGCTGCATAAGTAAGGGAAGTTGACAATTGTAAAGTCATCCCATTTATCATAGAGCTTGGTTGTTAGATTACTATTAACGTCCTTTTCAAGTAAAATATTCAAATATGAAACTGATGTCTCAGACAATCTAATAATATTCTACGTGTATATATATACACTCTCAATTGTGAACTATGTTTATAGAATTTTTGGATTTTTTAATATATTGTCAGTGCATTTTTTCAAGATATATTACTGTAAGACTCACACAAATTGTTCAACAGAAAATAGTTCCATCGTTAATAAGTAGGTACAACATAATTGTTCATGATAAGAATAATGTTGTGTATGTCATACGTAAAAGAAACAAAATTAATGTTATTTTTTCCAAAGATCACTTTCCCCCCTAAATTCAAATAAAAAATGTTAATTTTATTTCAGCCCTTTTTTTTTTTTTACATGTTTGATAACAGAGAATATATCACGGTTGATATTTTTTCACTGATGAATTGATTATACTATATCAACAACTGTAGTAAAATCATGTTAATTGTTCGTTAAATCATATAGTTTCCTCTTAGAGAAAAAAAATCATTCTGTGTGTGTAGTATGTTAAATGACGGAATTTTATCCCTAAGATTCCTGCACGTGTGTAGACAAACTACACATAGGGGGAGTACCTGTAAAATGTGTAACAAAACAACTGGCGGGGATTTCTAAAGTGATATCGTTTAATTTTTATTAATCAGAATTTGTATTCATGTGATCTAATTAAGAATGAAATCTTGCCATCGAAATGACAACTCCAACGTGTGTTTACTTTTGCGGACATAGGAATGTGTACTGTTTGTTAGCATGGTTACTGGGTGACCGTAATGCTACAGATCACGAAATTTACACAAGTTCTATATCTAGACAGTGCAGTTTTATTTTTATAAACGTCATTAAACACTGTTAAACATATTAAATCAAAAAGTCGAATATCTTTGGATATGGGGTAACCCATATCTATTCTTGTTAAAATGAAGATCAAAAACACATACCTTCCAAAACGTTATTGTCCACTTTTATTTGCATTGCAATATACAACGTGACGATAACAAAAGTTGCAATTTACAACGTGACGATATTAAAAGTATTATCAGCATGTAAACAATGGCTCTGATATCTTTATTTATTATCAATCAGCTGATAATCTTCCAAAATAAAACTTTATTTTCATGGTTAATGCAAGGTTATTCAGTGATTTTCTCACACTTGGAATTCGTTTTTAAAAGAATTTCTTTTTATTAAAAAAAGATTTGAAACATAACCTTTCAAGAAAGTAAGTAACATAAATATGAGATTGGCACGTTTTTTTAAATATGTCACAATCTTTTAAAAAATCTTAACTGGCAGCCAAAATGAAAAAAAAATGATCTACTTATATTTACTTTTCTTGAAATAAAATTTTTAATAGATCAAAAGTTATAAGGTCTTATGTTATTTGCCTTTTCTGAAAATTAAAAAAAATGAAATAGGAGTGTGTGTCTCTTTTTACTCCTTGAACGAGGAAATGTCCAATTGCAGAACTATGTTGCTTTCATTTTAAAAGGTTTTCAGCAAACATGTCAAAGCATTGGGGTTTCAAAATAGTTAGGCAGTATTTATGGAAAGAACCTTTGCAAATATGTAAAGAACATTAATAACCATATGATTTTACCAATATGATCCTTGTTCAGTGTAGTTTAAATAAAGCTTGATGACTTAGTCTAAAAGCGGACATTTTTAAGACATACTAGTAGATAAAATAAGTCAGTAATGCGTCTTTTTTAAAATGCTGATAAAAGAGATCTCTCTATTGGTATTGTTAAACTGTGCAGAATCAATAAAAAGATCTCTTCTGTTTTATCACCATTTTAAAAAAGACAGATTACTGGCGTTTTATAATGTAATTTTAAAAAATCAAAAGAGAAACAGTTATGACATTGTATATGTTGTTGATATTTTAATATGTGTTAAATATTTGCCCAAAATTACTATTACCAAAAGGAACGGTAAAAAAATTATTATCAACAAGTGAACAATAGCACAGATATTTAATAATTTTTGTTGATTTATTTTAAGTTCCTGTCATGTTGTAAATTTTGAATTTACCGGGTGGCATTAAATACAAAATTAACAACATGACAAGTTGTCATGTTCTTAATTTTGTATTTACTGCCAGCCGGTAAATTCAAAATTTACAACATGACATTTCTTTCTATTTATTTTCCAATCTAGGATTTCTAAGGCATCTACAGTAATTCTTCTTTAAAGACCTCACTTTAAAAAAGGTATAAATAGTCATGTACATGTAACTAGTCGTGTGATGGATATTATTTTCTATTTCTAAATTAAAATAGAAATACAAACATACAAGGGGTACGTAGGTGCAAACAATTTTAAAACAATGAATCTTTTTTAAAAAGGCTCTATATTGTGATTTTGTGGTGCAAGGGTGAAGCTTCCATAGTTTAAGCGAACAGAAGCTGATTTAAGTTAAGAGAAAGATGACAAGATTGTTTACTTATTAAATATGAAGATTACAATCAGCAATCAGGCAAACAGTCAATTTAAATACATGTAATACAAATCAAGATCAGAGCAAACATGGACCTTTAAAGACAATAGACGTGGGATCAGGTGCCAGGTTCTTGTCAACCAGTCACGCTCACGATATACTCTTTGTCATGATTGGGAAATAACGGAGAAATAGGAAGACAATTAAGTGTGTAAATAAATAACAATTTCATTAAAATCAGATCCTCGATGTTCCTTTTTTAACGATATGTCGCCTCTTAAGCGACATATCGTTAAAATAAAAATTGTATTGACCATAGAATTTGCAAAATGATGACTTTAAACAAGAAATTTTATTCTTATTTTGTCAACTTGTTTGTCAATAATTTGTCTCGTTTTAGAAATTATTCGTACGTAGTGCATGCTCTTGCATATCTAATCATCAATACATAAACCCCATAGAGATTACCTGCAATTGATAGGGGTATATTGCTACATAAATAAGAGGGCTGACGATAGAAAAGTTTAAAATATTTTAAGTTTTGTTGTTATCTTGTTATATCGCTTTTTTGTGAAATATCCATGTATGATTCTAGAAGAACTTGAACAGGCGGTATCATGATGCAAATACCAAGCACACTGTGTAGCTTTCGTTGAAGCGCGAGGTTAGGCCAGAAACGGTTTTTAAACTAATCAATGAAACATTGTGGTAGGGGTGAATAGTCAAGATCAATTGATCTAAATAACTGATCAATTAACTAATCAATGATTATATTGATCTCAAAGACATACGTAAACAGTTTGTTAAAAATGGAAACAGGAAGAGTGACATGATGAGACTTACTGAAGAAAAGACATATTAAGCCAAAATAGAGTACCTTTTGGGGAACAATTTTTCCAAGCACATAAGAAAAAAGCAGATAAATTCAGAAAGGAAGACATGATTATTGCAGTTAATTCAAATTTGCCGAAAGACAAAAATGAGTCACATGAGAGAGGAAAAAATCAGAGCTTGAAAAACTAGCATTGTTCCAAAAATGGGCTTTTAATTTCCTCTGGGCTCAAAAGGCCATCTGCAATTGATACTAGGGTATTTTACAAAGGAATCAGAAAAATGAAGGATATACTCTTTGTTTTCTAGTGTAGTAAACCCAAAA